GAGATGGTGGACTGAGAAGAGGAAGAAGAAGAACTCTCTCTCTCGTGTGCCAGGAACTGACCTGTGAAGATGGCGCTGTGCTGCAGGTACCTCGACGACAAAGCTGGAGCAATGGCGCTGCAGGTAAGCCCCTCTAGCCTCCGCCCAATCTCTCTCCCTATAGTACTACTCTAGCTACGGCGCCCAGCGCTGAAGGCTACAGCTAACGCTACTAGCGCCCAGCGCTGAAGACTACTGCTAGCACTACTACTACTACTCCTGCAGCGCTCCTCCAGAGTGCTGCTGCCGAATCCTGAAGACTACTGACTGCCTCCTGCCTGCCCGTGAAGTGCATGGGAAGTCCCTATGTACTACCTCGGCCTGCCTCCTGACTGCCTCCGACTGCCTGCAGTTGCAGGGCGGGCAGTCCAGGAGGCTGCTCTTGCCAATGCCAAACTGAGCCAGGCCTGGCGCTGCAGCTGTCGTGGGAACAGGCCAAAAATAGCCTGTTCCTAAAACCCTGGTTTGGTGCCTGAGTTTCAGGGCAGGCCAGCCTGATGAAAGACCGAAAATGGCCCTTCATTTCAGGCTAAAAAGGCTACTGCCATTTTTAGTCTGAAACGACACAGGGTCTGTAGGCCCGTGTTTTTCAGGCTTTCGAGCTGAACAGACACGGGGCCTGTAGGCCCTGGTTTTCAGGCTTTCAGCCTGAGGGACGCAGGGCTTGGAAAATGGCCCTCGTGTGCAGGCGCAGCATGTAACACCCCCCCCTCCTTATAAAGTCAAGCCGGGGCCAGGGCGAAGCTGACGATGTGAAGGTGGAACCCGGACGTGGGTGCGGCATGGAGCCGAAGAGACCGGCTTGCCTTGCATCTTGCGTTCGTAGCGTCCGAGAACGTCTGGAGCTGTTGCTTGAAGTTCCGCACGGGTCAACCAACGGTCAGCCCGGTGTGCGCAGTATGCAAAATGGACCAAGTACTCGGTTGGCCTGTTGCTGTAGCGTCGCTGGGAGATGATGCCGCCGACCTCCTGAAAACCGTCCATAGAGGTTGGGTCTTTCGAACGTCGCCCGGGAAAATCGTCATGTTCCGCTGGCCTGTAAACAGCCAACTTGGAGCAATGAAAGACTGGGCAGACGGGCAAGTGGGCGGGTATCTGAATAGTGAAGGAAGGTCCCCCGAGTGCATCCCCAGCGGGTGCCACGATCGGCCAGGGCCCCATCCATTTCGGGAGGAGTTTGCGAGAGATATCTTGTTCAACGCTGAATTCCGCGGCGGAAACCCAAATGAGATCGCCAGCGCGGAATGGGCATGGAAGATGCTGGCGATTGGCATGTTGGCTCATGTGTTGCTGCGTCTTAGCCATCTGGTCGCGT